AAGAAGTCGGCTGTTCATTATTTCCTTTAACGCTTGAGGTGATCACCTGCTGCGCTGTTTAACCAAACCATCATACTGCCACAACACAGACAAGGAGACAATGCAGGTTTTCCAAGAATGGCAGGGTGACTCTGATACTCCCTGATAAACACACCCATGTGCACACACATGCACACATACACATATGGGAAATATCTCAACTTTGGATGTATCACCATACATTTGGTACAAAAATGTTCCCCTGAGGAAGAATTTAAATAATTAAATGTCATCTACTGTAGCACCATCATCACCAAAGATTTTAATTTGTTTGTGCTATATGCCCCCGATCTGTTCTTTCTCTTTCCTGCTCTCACACTTTGTAGAATGTTAAAAGCTTCCGGTTCTGCAGCATGACCGATCAATCCTCCGTGGTAAAAAAAAGTACCTCTTCATCTCTCTCTGAGACATGTCATACTTTCAAGGGACAACATTTTGAAGAAAGCATTTAAACCTCTGTTCTTTTAAACTCATTTTTTCTGAGTAAGGCTATTTTTCCCACGTGTCCCAATTTGTTCAGAATACTAAGAAATCAAGCCATGAGTTTGATGATTTATTTGTATCCAGAAGTAGGACACCGTGTGGTATTATCATGAAAGCCATATTAAGGTTTCATCCACATTGTTTACAGGTAGGAAACACTGGCTTTTGTTGTTGTTGCCTGAGGCAGGTTGAAAAATAGCACAGAGAGTGGCCTGCTTGTTGAGGCAGAAAGCTGACCTGAAAGCACACAGCAGAGATTTAGCATGATAAAGCATTTTGTAGACCTGTCATGGCAGTGAACTCAACTCCCTGGCTGAGGCTGTAAGGCAGGTAGCATATGTTACTAATGGCGCATTTCCACTACACGGCCTCGCACGGCCTCGCTCGGTATGGCTAGGCCTCGTTAGGACTGGCTCACTTTATGGCGCATTTCCATTACAGTTTAGGAACTGGGGTAGTATCTATAGTAACGCAGTGTAGGCGGAGCCGTGACGTCATCTTCAATGAGAACCCCAGAAAAACAACACAGCCGTTAGCTGTTAGCACTCAGAGCTCACAGCTCCTCATATATGTTCAGAAACTAGACAAAAGTTAAACAAGTACAAACCACAGACTGCCTGTGTCATGGCGAATACAGTCGCTGCTTTATTTATGTCTGTATAGGCCGTTGTTGTGAGTGTGGACGGTTGGAGCATATACTGCGTTAGCTTAGCCAATCTCCATTTAGAAAACACGCATTTTAAAAGGTTTTTCGCCTGCCGTCCAGAAAAACTGTGAATTAGGACCCGCCGGCCGGTACTAGGCCAAGTGGAAACGCAACCAAAAACGGGCCGCTGACGTCACAGCCCTCTTAAACCGTGCTCCGCGCTGTAGTGGAAATGCGCCATAACAGGTTCAACAGTGTAATGGAAGCAGGTGGTTACACAGAATGAGGCAGCAGATGTTAGGGGTGACAGCTGGAATGGTGGCAGAAATATTCACATCAACAACTCATTAAATCCATGAATAAGATTTAAAGAGTGTTTGTTAAAGTTTCAGGGTGTTCTGATAGAAAACCAATACGTTTTCACATTGCTGTTGAACTGTAATATAGTATTTTACTATTTCTTGAGTCATCTATCTCACATGACAATCAAGTCTTATTTTAGTTTTATCTAATTGTGTGTAATGTAGCGGTGTAGTGCATGGTTTCCAAATGAGTCTGTACTAACAACTACATTACAACACAGCAGTAATACACTGTGTGCACAATTATTAGGCAAGTTGCATTGTTTGAGGATTATTTTAATTATTGAACAACTACTGTGTTCTCGGTCAATCCAAAATGTTAATGAACCTCAAACCTGAATATTTAAGAAAGTAAAAGTGATGTTCTGGCTTTTTTAGGAGAAAATCTATGTGTGCACAATTATTATACAACTAAAGGAAAACAAACATCTTCCCACAAAAAAACACTATGAGCGCCTCCGCTCACACACAGTTTAAAAAGGACGGAAGGAGAAAAAATACCAGGCAATTAATGGAGTCTGTCAGTTTCTTGATCTGTTGACGATCAACCACAGCCTCCCAGACTCTGTTCAGAGAGCTGTACTGACTTCCTTCACCGGAAATCTCCCTTTAAGAAGAGCCCACTAGTTCTCTATAGGGTTAAGGTCTGGCGAGGAAGGGTTTAGGTCAGGTGAGGAAGGGTTAAGGTCAGATGAGGAAGGGTTAAGGTCAGATGAGGAAGGGTTTAGGTCAGATGAGGAAGGGTTAAGGTCAGGTGAGGAAAGGTTAAGGTCAGATGAGGAAGGGTTAAGGTCAGATGAGGAAGGGTTAAGGTCAGATGAGGAAGGGTTTAGGTCAGATGAGGAAGGGTTAAGGTCTGGCGAGGAAGGGTTTAGGTCCGGTGAGGAAGGGTTTAGGTCAGATGAGGAAGGGTTTAGGTCAGATGAGGAAGGGTTAAGGTCAGATGAGGAAGGGTTTAGGTCAGATGAGGAAGGGTTAAGGTCAGATGAGGAAAGGTTAAGGTCAGGTGAGGAAGGGTTAAGGTCAGATGAGGAAGGGTTTAGGTCAGGTGAGGAAGGGTTTAGGTCATGTGAGGAAGGGTTAAGATCAGGTGAGGAAGGGTTTAGGTAAGGTGAGGAAGGGTTAAGGTCAGGTGAGGAAGGGTTAAGGTCAGGTGAGGAAGGGTTAAGGTCAGGTGAGGAAAGGTTTAGGTAAGGTGAGGAAGGGTTAAGGTCAGGTGAGGAAGGGTTAAGGTCAGGTGAGGAAGGGTTAAGGTCAGGTGAGGAAGGGTTAAGGTCAGGTGAGGAAGGGTTAAGGTCAGGTGAGGAAGGGTTAAGGTCAGGTGAGGAAAGGTTAAGGTCAGGTGAGGAAGGGTTAAGGTCAGGTGAGGAAGGGTTAAGGTCAGATGAGGAAGGGGGCCATGTCATTATTCGTTCCTCTTTAAGGCCCTTACTGGTTAACCACACAGTGGAGTACTTTGAAGCATGTGATGGAGCATTGTCCTTCATAAAATCATGGTCTTCCTGAAAGATGCAGGCCTTTTCCTGTTCCACTGATGGAAGAAAGTGTCTTGTAAAAACTGGCAGTAGATTTGGGAGTTGATTTTGAGTCCATCTTCAACCTGAAAAGGTCCAACTAGCTCCTCCTTAATAATACCAGCCCATACCAGAACCCCACCTCCACCTTGCTGGTGTCTGAGTTGAAGTGGAGCTCTGTGCTTGTTACTGATTCAGCCACGGGCCCATCCATCTGGTCCGTCAAGAGTCACCATCAGTCCAGAAAACCTTTCTTGGCCCAGTCTTGACGTTTTAACTCATGTGTCTTGTTCAGTGGTGGTTTCAGCCTTCCTTCCCTATGCCATGTCTCTGACACCTGAGACTTCTGGGCCCTCAGGTAGGTCACAGTTCTGGAATATGACAGCCCTGGACGATAATGGCTTCCTTGTGGCTTCACGTTTGATTCTTCTCAGATCTTTGGCAGTTCATTTGCGTCTTTTTTTCTCAACACATTTCTTGCCACCCTGTTGACTATTAGCAACAAAACATTTGTTGGTTCTGTGATCATGCCCCAATATCTTAGCAGTTTCAAGAGTGCTGCATCCCTCTGAAAGACTTTTAAAATGTTTGACTTTAAAAAAAAAAGCTGCCTAATAATTCTGCACACCTTGATATAGGGTGTTGATCTCCTTCCCTCCCTCATTACACAAATACCGATCACCTGATATCCTTAAATCTAATACGCATTCAAGTTCTAAAAAGTCTAAATACTCACTTGCCTAATAATTGTGCACACAGTGAATAGCTTTGACGCGATGTTGAATGGGATGGATAATCATATATCAAGTACATTTTCAATTAGAAGTCATTTCTCATTTAAAAAAATGCCATACATTTGGTACAAATCTGTAGTGTCCCGTCAATTATGTTAAGTTGTGTCATGTTTGTGATTGTCATGTTCATGTTAGTTTAGTTTATGTTCCACTTCCTGTTTTATTTTGTACTCACCTTGTCTCATTCCAGGTCCCTTTACTTCCTGCCTTGGTTATTTTTCCCGCCATCGTCAGTGTCTGCCCCGCCCCTGATTGTTTCCACCTGTGCCCACTTACCTCATGTATATATTGTCCTGTCTCCCCTTGTTAGTTGTCGGTTCGTATTGTTCGTTCGTTCGATGAAGCCAGATCCAAGCCATAATTTAAAGGACTCAGTGTTTTGCCTTTTATCCTCCATTGTGAGCGCTTTACTTTTGACAGTTTGTTATATCCTCTGGAAGAGTGATTTTGTTTTTGCAAAGTAAAGATTATTTTTCTTCAAACCTTTTTTGTCTCTGGGTTGTGCATTTGAGTCCTCATACTATTGAGTCAAGAATCCTAACAAAATCTTGTTAATACCTGAATGCCTGATATTAAATATTGTCACTAAGATGGCAGCCAATGTTTTGCTCTCTGGTGCTTTTTCTCTTTTTGTTTATTTATTTAGTTTTCAGGTGTTCCTTTCCAATTAGATTAACCAGGGAGGAACATCTGACGAACGACATATAGTCTATACAGTTTTCTGCACGACGGGTCAGTTTTGGTGGGATTTGAGATGGAGTAGCTGAAGGCTTTTTTTGGACTTGCAGGAGATGCATGTCGCGGGATCCCTGTACAGCTCTCCTGTACACAGCCTGGTTTATCTTCTGTACACATATTTATGTAAAAAAGACATCAAAAAGTGCATTTTGCATGATAGGAGACCTTTTAAAGTTGGTTTCCTTGTTGTAGCTGTATATCCTCTTGTAAACTGTGAGTAAGTACACTGAGAGCAACTGAAAAACAGATTTCCCTCTATGAGAATATATACAAGGAAGCACATGCCACTTCAAAACATTGTATTGTGTTTAAAACATACAAATACGTTTTTTGCAAGCATCTCAAAGATCATGAATTCTCATTTGAGGGACAGGTTTAACGTTGAAATATAGCAATGCTATCAAGAAGGGTTTAGTTAGGGTACCTTTAGGGCACAGGCATCTGCAGCAGATCCAGGGTCCACTCCAGTGATGTAGATCCCCAGTCCATACTCTGCTCCACCTCTGATCATTAGGCCCAGAGAGCGACCATCGTCCATGTTTAGGTTACACTGGAAAGGAGACAGGACGATTACCAAGTGTAAAAACGGTGCAACAATGTGGAATGGAAGACTTCTTAATAGTTAGCTGTGGTTATGTGCCTTAACAATGTTATCACCATTTAGAAGCTGGAATCAGAGACTGATTGATATTTTTGGCCGAAAAAGGACGTATTTGCCAAATAATTGATACATTTTTGGACAGAAATGTAGATTTACTTCAAGGGCACACATTTGTATTTATAAATAATTTTGTAGCAAACAAAGCAAAGGGGGGCTGTACGTCACTTTCACCTGAGGGTGATTTCAAAGAAATGTACCGTGCACAATACACACACATCATTTTATTATCTGGTCATATAGAGCATATTAATTAGTGCAGCTTCAAGTCAAATACACTGCACAGAAAAAATAAATGTTTTGCCAACAGTCCACTCACAAGAAAAACATGACATAAAACAACCCAGAGCAAATATTTTACTAACTGTAAGCATTTTTTTTCATTTGCCTTAGGAGCATTTAGACTTGTATAACAAATAAACACAACTATGCCACTGTATTTATTTGCTCTAGAAATTCATGAAAATTCCAACAGGTGGCATGTCTCTCCTACAGGTCACATAAGCTTATCTGAAAATATGAAAATATAAGCAGTTTGTGTAAATATCCTCCTGCTAGCCTGCTGTACCAACATTTAATACATCAGTTGTAAATCAGCTCCTGAGCTTTTGGATCAATCACACATTAACTGAGCCCATTCAAAATCTGCAGAGCTGCATTGGCCAACCCTGTCTCCTAAAAATGACGTTCCCACAGAACTAAATTCTCAATGCATTCTCAATTACGTTTAGCTAGAAACGTATTTTCTCCCACGTTACGTTTGTTATGAACGTATCTTAAATACGTTTATTTTCTACATATCTTCTAGAAACATATTTTCTCCCATGTTACGTTTGTTATGAACGTATCTTAAATACGTTTATTTTCTACATATCTTTGCCATTTATTGTCTTGCTTATAATAATGATAATAGTCATTTATAAATATCATTTTAGAGCACACATTTGAAATCGACGATCGGGCTCGATATATGGTTAAAGTGGACCTATCATGCTATATTTAAATGATATATTGTAGGGCCATACCTATATAAGGTATATTTATACGTTTCTGTTTTCAAAATACCAAACAGATCATGCATTTTAGCCATGCCTCATTTCGCTCTATGTGCTGTTTGCTGTCTACGGGGCTGATTCTGTGAGCTGCAGCTGACCACGCCCCCCTGTAGGAGAGGGGAGCCGTGCTCTGATCAAGTCAAGAGGGGGAGAAAAAAAGATCTCCGTCGTCCGTGTTTTATTATATTATTATAGGCCTATAGAGTCGTTATTCATTTGTTTTAAAGCTCAATAAATAACAAAGAAGACCTTTGACCGGCACTTTTCTAATTTTGTCCGGAAGATTTAAACTTTAACGGACATCTTGACCGGCGAAAGAAAACCTAACTGAAACTCTGCCGCACGGTCCCCTCGTTCCTTGGAAGAGGCGGAGAGGTGGGTGTTTGTCATCTGCTGGTGGACTAACCGGAGAGAATTACAGTGCTTGCCTCGACGGGGAGGGATTGCATTGAATTAAAGCAGCAGGAGCAAACGGTTGCCTCGGGGAGGGAGAAAAAAAGCCACAGCGGAGAATAAACAGAAGGGTAACCATGGCAACTATGGGCGGGAAGTCTTCTTCGCTGCTTTTGTGGCAGACTACAGCGCCACTTACAGGCCTGGCATATGTACTACAGCGTCTCCAGCGCTTTCGAGCGGCAATGGCCGGCCGTGGCCCAACCCCACATTCCCCTCATTGGTGGAGAGTTGGCCCAATAGCCGTAGCGCCACTTTACTGACGTCAGTGAAGTGTTCAAATCTGGATCAGTCTGTATCAGATCCGTTGCAGCCCCTTTTTTAGAGATTTGGGTATGGAGGAAAATAGAGAGGGTTCTGTTTTCTGACACTTGGTGAGTTCCCTGGAACACCGGGGACACATATTCATGTATAAAAGACGTACAAAAGTGCATTTTGCATGATAGGTCCCCTTTAAATTAAAATCAGTAGGCGAGGCTGTAATTTCGCCAGCTGTTACTCTCATGAGCGAGGCAGAAAATAATAGTTTTAACATGCCAAAAAGCTGCTGTGTTGTTTATTGCACCTCAAACATTAAAACAAATCCAGAGTTACGTGTTTCTGTAAGAAAGGACAGTAACAGAAGAGCTCTGTGGCTTCAGGCTTGATCGCCGTTCAAATGACAGCGTTGGTTTCCCCAAAAGTGGGCGGGGCTATAAAGTGACGTTGATTTTACTCTCATCTATTATTCAAAACCATTCTATTTATTCTAACGTAAATTACATGCCAGTGTTTTATCTTTTTATTTAGCGATTTGTTTTTGCACTGGGAATGTTTTCATGTGGAACCGGAAGTACGTCACTTCACTTTGTCTTCTTCGTCCCTTTTACGTTCCAGACAATGCATGGCTCAGCGTAACAGACTGAACAGCGACCCCAGGTGTGTCTACATTGGAATTACATCTTCATTACTGAAGGAAAAATACTTTACCTAGTGTTTGTTAACTGGGTTTTTAATGCAGTTGGCTTTTCTTAATGGTTACAATATTGCTATGAGTTATATCTGAAGCAAATTATGTTTCTGAAGATGTGTAGTCAATTCCACCCTTCAATGTAGCATAAATGTGAACTCTCATTACAGGAACAATACCGGAAACAGATGTAGGAAAGATCCTCAGCTCGCTGATTGGATGTTTTAGCCGCAATGCACGTTGGGAGATGGTGTCTATGCGATGTGAAATCCGAAAACATTTAAAAATAAAATAATACTTTATTCCAAGTGTGCTTGCTTTTCTCTTTGGAAGTCATCACATAACGGCATTGTAATACACGGTTCGGCTGCATTATATATTACACATCTGCCGTAGTTCTTTATTTATAGAGCCTGATGAGAAGACTTCTGGACAAACAGGAAGAAGTGCCGCCGAAACTGAATACGTGACGTGGATCATAAATATATCAACAATTACACAATATCTTACATTTATTTTCACAAAATACGTCTCCTTGCAGTATCAATACTAATTCGGCTGACTTTTATATTTGATCCAATTGGTAGATAGGTTATATTTACACCATAACGGTGCACAGCTGATAGAAAGGGACTTGTAGTTTTTAAAGATATTGTGTAATGTAAATACTGAGTTGAGAGAATAGTCAGGGGTTTTGGGTGATGGGAGACACATCTATGGAATCACAATTTCAATAGCTTACCATTAAATGACGGATATACCTTTCTGTCTGTGATGTTTTACAAATCAGATATTAATGTGTAGAAGTAAAACATGAGAAATAGTATAGCAATATCCTGTAAAATTATGTAAAAACATGAATAAAACTACACATCTTCAGATGTTATACATACATAAATGTCCTACACTAATAATACAAAGTTATTATTAGTATGCTGTGTGTACCTTGTGTGCACCGCCTAGTGGTTAAAGCACGTTATTTAATTATTTTTGTTGAATAATGTTATTTTTGTTGAATAATGTTATTTGATGAAAAAAATATTAAGAGTACATACTTTCATAGGGGGAAAGTAGAAGGTCAATGATAGAAATATAGAATATAAAAAATCAAGAAGATACTGTAAGTGATCTCTACAATAAAACTGTTTAGTGCCGGATGTATAAAGATATTAATATGAGGATGTGCAAAACAGACAAACTAATTAACCTTTATTAACACATTAAAGAATGCTTTAGGTTAAGGTCTTCTTTTAAATAAGAAAACAGCTTTGGGGGTATCTATCTACAGATAAATATTAAGCCTGACAAAGTACTTAACGTCTAATATATTGCTTTCCTGCAATGTTAACTATGTTGAAGCACTTATTTTAACTGATATTATATACATTAATTATACTCTTATGTATGTAGATAGTATAAGAAATGTGCAGAATTTGACAGTTTAATGGTGGAGGTATACACACATATTGATAGATGTCTTGTAATGCACTGTTGAGGAACCTGCGACCCAAGTTTTTCATTCATTGCATAACTACACCGTAGTTGTGTATATGACATGTCAATAAACCTTAGAAAATCATGAAATCTTGAAAGGGATGTGCAAAATAGCCATTATATACAGTTTTTAATTAACTATTAGTAGAGAATAACGAGTAATGAATATACTTTATAGAGATCTGCAGATAAATGTTTAGTCTTTATCTCTATCAAATATCTCACCTTTCCCTGAATTTGACTCAGGTGTAACTAAAGTCTGATTTAAGGGTTGTTTATATTTCACATCATTAATCAGAATCTGCAAAGTAACTAAAATAAATGTAGTGGAGTAAAAATACCAGGTTAACCTTAAAGAAAGCCCTCAGGATTATAAAAGACCCCCATCACCCCAGCCACAAACTGTTCTGTCTGCTGCCGTCTGGCAGGCGGTACCGCAGCATCCGGACTAAAACCACCAGACTCAGGGACAGTTTCATCCCACAGGCCATAAGACTATTAAACACCTGAACTTTGAAACAACATCCATAACATTCATCTGGCTGCTACTTAGAAATTATTTATCTAATATATCATATTCCAATCACTTGTATATAGACTCTTATTGCACTATTTCACTCTTTACTATTTTACTATTTTTATTTTTGTATTTACTTGCACAATTTTTTCTGTGTATCTGTTGTATTGTGTTGCACTGTTGTACACGTTCGATTCCTGTTTTGGATAGTGTGCCGTCGATGGGTTTCATTCCATTTCAAACTGCTGTTTGACGCTCGGTGTAAACTTCGCGCACTGCCACTCCAACATCCAATCACAGAGCTTGAAGACTAATCACGGGGTTTGTCAAGCAAAGCACATGGTGTAGTCCCAAACGATAGCTGAGGATTCTGGGTAGTGTAGTGTCTTCTGCCATCCTAAACTCCGAAAAAATATTTGTTTCT